AAATTATTTTCTGAATATTATTTTTTTTTAATGTGAAGTGAACAGGGCCTAAGGAGAACATTATAGGATCTTCTCTCCCCGCCTGTGGACGTAGGCAACAACGCAACGCATTATTAGTGAACCATGCGTAGTTTTGAACCGGGTACATATTTTGATTATTAGATGCGGGTCCATAGCATACTAATTGATATCTCAAATTGACAAATAGGTAAAATGAAATACTAATAGCTTAGTTCACGCAAATTTTAAGGTGCACCATGGTGCACCTAGAAATAGGTGCACCACACTTATACTTTTGAAACATTTAGTAAAAAAAATCTGAACAATTGCAAATTTTAAACATTTAGTAAAAAAAATCTGAACATCGCATATTTTGAACATTTAGTAAAAAAATCTGAACAATCGCAATGCACTACGCCTCTACTTTTGAACATTTAGTAAAAAAAATCTGAACAATCGCAAATTTTGAAACATTTAGTAAAAAAAATCTGAACATCACAAATTTTGAACATTTAGTAAAAAAAATATGAACAATCGTAAATTTTGAACATGTAGTATATTAAATACAACACTATATAATAAACATCAATTGCTTGATTTGATTGGTATGAATATTTAAATCATTTGATAATTTTCATTTGAATAATCTGAGAATTGTTAATGAGGATAATGTTTAATTTTTATATAGAATAATCTGAGAATTGTGTTTCCTTATGTTTTAATCTCTGTTATAACTATATAATTGGACTAATTAGAGGATAATGTTTAGTAATGTCGAATTTGCCGCTTCATGTAATGTATAGAGATAACAATATTGAAGTAGGAATCATAGAATGGTATGAGCTGGAGTTGTGATTTGCGAATCATCTTGGAATGATTGATTAACATATGCAAAACGAATGGAGAAAGCCCTAGTTCCTCATTATGAAAAATACTTGCGTTTCTCATAATGGCAATTTGAAAAATAATGTAATGTTTTTCACTTCCTGAGCTGCTGAGTCGGATTCGTGGGACAGCCTATGTGTCAATCTGTTTTAGGAGAAACTACTACTGTAGGAGTAACTGGCACATTGTCATTGGCATTAGAATCACTATTAAGTTGCTCGTTGTTGCTAATCATTTCTGCAGAGAAATACAGAAAACAAGTCAATAACACAGTAAAATAGAAAAATATAGCTTTAATTATATTTGCTCATTTTTTTTATATTTGTTCATTCTAAGTTTATTTTGCTTAATAACAAGTCAAGTACACAATAAAATGGTAATTATATTTGCTACTTCATATTTTAAAAGGGTAAAAGAGGTATTTTAAAGGAAAGAAATTTCTAGGGTGTTACATTACATCATTAATCTTAGTTGTTGGATTTAATACAATCTAACGGTTGAGATTTGTTCTCACATAAGGGACGAGTTCTCACATAAAGGGTGGTTCTCACCGAATCTCAACCCTATATATATATATATATATATATATATATATATATATATATATATATATATATATATATATTTTCTTTTATTTTATTTATTATTTATATCTAAATTAATAAAGTCGAGATGTTTAAATAAATAATAAAAATAATTAGTCTAATAAAAGTTCAAATATGAGATTATAGCAAATAAAAATTTAAGATATAATTATTTTTATTATTTATTTAAAGCATCTCGACTACCGACTTTGAGTTTAAATCAACAAAAAGAAACATAGATTTGACTTTTAACATCCAAGCCTTTACAACTTTCACTAAAAAACATCATTACATAAATGGAGTTGGACGGACAAGTTGCACATGAGCACCTTTTTATAGGACAAGGAGCGTACTACAAAACACAACGCAAATAGAGCAACTGAAAATAATGAAACTGTTTTGATCATAGCTTTATTTTATTTGGTAGATGAGTTCATCGCCAAGTAAGATCTTCAAATGGGTAACTTATATATATGACCTTTCATTCATAAGTTGTTCTTGTTGAAAAAATACGGAGCAGCTTTTTACAAAGTCAAGGCTTGAGAATCCCAAAATAAAGTACGGACACCTACTTTGAATAGCAAATTTCAAGAGTAATTTAAAAGTCTCTTTTTTCAAACAACTTAAAACAGATCCTAAAGTTAAATCAATTTCAAAATCAAGAGAAATATATACTACCTCCGTTACATAGTAGTTGAAGATCTAAAATATTCCAAAGTTGTAAGTAATATGTAACGGAAATATTATATGCAAATTAATAAAAAAAATACAGCTTGGAACCTTAAAGGCCCAATCCAAAACCCAATTTAAAACAATTATCCAAAGCAACTAACACACTTCAACAAACCAAACTATAATAATAGTTATTCAAATAGCTAATAAAGTGATAATGCAAGTTACTGCACTGGATTTATCCAAGGAACTGGCGTAGGCCAGTACTGGAGCTCAAGTCTGGTAGAAGAATAGAACTGTTCAAAACGTCCCTGAAGTCCTAGCCGAATTTGACCCAAATTCTTCAAGCGATGAGATGATCCTATATTACTGAGAAACACCTTATTCTCAGCAGTTAGGACATATATCATCCGATTATTAGTCGGGTGTATATGGATAGTACGTATGCCACTTTGACGAGGTGATCTGGCCTGGTTAAAGCTCGTGACATTGTAGGTCTTCCAACATACCTCATTATTACTATTATTATTCCCATTGAGATCCAATTCATTGTATGTCATTACTAGACGGTCGCCCTTTACATAAACCGATGAGCCCTTATAATAAACTTCGGTAGGATTCATGGCAAATTTAGCTAAATAGATTGAAATCAATCTCCCTCCACATTCTAAGAGGTTTCCTCTCCTTAAACTATTACATGTTGGTAGAGTTCTGGCCTCAACAACTCGGCTTGAAGTAGGAGTCACATTGAATGGATCAAAACAACCCGAAATATACACTATAGAGAACACAAACCATTCCCTTACAAACCACACCCTTTAAAGGTGCTATGCGGCTCCTAGAGTTAGGGGGTCGCATTAACCTAAGATCAATGTCTATCCAACTACAATTCTCCGAGCAGAAAACCATGAGGTTCAAAGTAAAGGATGGATCATATGCCCCATTTTTGGGAATCACCATCGTGGGACGAACAACGACAATAACCCTAAACTTATAATCAACACGTCTTTCAATGACATTATAGAAAGGGTCTTCACACACTAAACAAGCCCATGATGTGTCGGTCCACGACACTCGAGCTGGAGTAGGGGGGAAGAGCAACCCATTGCTTTGTTAATGGATTACAAATGTAATATTGATCATTACTATTCGAATCAATGCATAAGATTAAGTCCTTGAACGTCGCAGCAAGTTTTACTTGAAAAGGAATAAAAGTAAGGGAGAATTTCGGAGAGTTGAATACCTTGTGAAATGGGGAATTAGTCCGAACTTTCCCTTCACTGTTTATAAGTTGCATCGACAAAATCGTCCATGGAGGTTTCTTCAGCGGAAAAGGGAGATTTTTCTTATGATTAAGGAAATCTATCGCAAATTTAGGGTTCGATAGCAAAGATAACCAGCGTTTCGATACGAAATTTCGCTGTGATTATAGTTTCACAACACGGAAGTCGAACAAATATTTCGATCAATAATTCATCAGCAAGATCTTCAATGCTTGTGGATTTTTTTTTGAATAATAATGATAGGTTTTCCATGCTTCATAGATTTGTGATATTTTAATGACGGAAAACCCAAATATATATACTGTCTTGTTTATTTTTTTCCCCTAAAATCTATCCAATTATTTATGGAAAATAAAATAAGATTTTCTGCAACCTACTCCACGTAGTATCAAAATCCGATCTTAAAGTAAATAAGTAAATTATTGCTTTCAATAAAAAAGTAAATTATTATAAAGATAAAAAAAAAATACCATATTGATAGATTTTGATTTTCCATCATTAAAATCAACGCATTTAATAATTAACAAAAAAAAAAAAAAAAAATTACTCGTAGGAAAGATAGATAACATTAAAATGTGATAAATAAAAATAAATATTCCCTATAAACAAGTACAAAATAACGAGGAATTACAGTAAGCTATAATTTCAAGTATTAACCTTTGTCTCCTAAGACCAGAAGACTAAGATATGATGATGCCCACCCAAGTGAGGAGTAAACGACGGTAAATGCTATATAGAGAAGTAATCGATGCTTTTCATTACTGGGATGGAGATGGTGCCATGGTTGGGATTGTAGGTATGGTGGTTGGCATAGCCGGTAAAGGAGGTAACGCCATTTTAGGTGCAGAAGGCATGGATGGCAATGGTGGCAAGGTAGCAGGCAATGGGACACATTTGTTGGCTTTGGTAGAGTAGTAGTAGATTGTGTAGAGTTGGTGTAGTTTGCAATTGCTGGGAGAGGACTAGCAGCTGAGAGTGGTGGCAATGCTGTCGATTGTGGAAGAGCTTGCGCTGCAGGCATTGCTGGAGAGGGCTGGTAGCTGAAAGTGGTGGCAATGTTGCAGGCTGTGGGAGGTTATTAGTTACAGCTGGGACTGCGGGCAAGGGTTAGATGCATCGGTGGAACGCTTGGATTTGGCAATGGTGGCAATCCTGTTTCGGGCACAGTTGGGATAGTAGGCATTGGAGGAATGCTCGGCTTTGGCAATGGTTGGATTGGAGGAAGTGTTTGTAATAATGCCGAGCTGCCAAAGCTCATCTGAAACAGAGCAAAGAGTAGAGAAAAAAGGAAGAACTGCTTGGCCATTGTGATTTGTGAAAAATGGGATAGAACGAAATCGCTTCGAAAAGTTGTATTGGTAATTGATGCTTATGGTGTAGTGAGATAGTAATTAGCTATGATGAGTATTTATAAGGTAGTATTGTTTGGGTTGCTGATGAAAGTTGAAAGAGGAACAACTAATTTTAGTTATGGATTGTGGTTGGTCACCTTCCTTATTATTGGAGACATTATAATATATTATATTGATGTTAAGAAACGAAATCTGTTGCATTTGTCTTAGTTTGATGTCTAGAATCGTATAGTTAGGTTAACAGGCTGATAAGAATTGTCAAACTTTGAAAATTTATAACTGCAACAAGTAAATAGCATTATGTCATGGGCTATTTCTAACACTATTACCTTTAGAAGGGCAGGGGCTCCCTCTTCCCTAACAATAGTCTTGAGACAATCGACTATGCCATTGTACTGATTTGCAGATCCCTGTGGAGAAAAATTATAATGCCAAGAGTTACTATGAGAGACCATGCAACAAGCAAAGATGTGAAACAAAAATTGAAGAGCCATACAAATCAGATTAAGAACAAATACGATACCTGGGTCATTAGCCTAGTCTTAATAACATCAAGAGGGGTAGTAATAGCACCAGTTAAAGCACCTGAAAATTTTGATAAAGACTGATATAAAACCCATAACAATACATGACAATGATAGCTTTTTAAAATGCCAATTTCAAATCATGCTCATGCAAGAAGACTTCTTACTGTTTATTACAAAAGGCCAAGGTAACCACCAAAAATGTCTGAAATAAAATCAGACTGTCTTCAGTTGCATCTGTACAGAAATTACACCTCAAATTCTCTTAAAGTTTCATAAGTTTACAGAATATCACATAGATGTTCCTCCGAATACTGGAACTCACAAGAAAAGGAAATTTATAACTGTTATCATAATATAGTAATAGAGGACATGTTAAATGTTCTGCTTGAATTTAATGGCAAAATTTGCAAGTCTTATTCCTATAAGCAAGTTTGCCCCTGTAGTAATTTTCTTCCATTAAGAATCATACGAAATTAGAAGGTTATGTACAGCATTTAACTAGACAATGTTGGAATGAACAAGTATCATGGAAATTAGCATAGTCAAGCTTAGCCAGCATCTTAATAGCCAACTCAGGCCATGCAATTGATGTTCCAAGCGTTATCCTAGTACAAAGGTTTCTCATCGGTTTGATTAAAAATCAACAAGTTTTGGTATAAATATCTCAGGCTTCAGTTTCTAATCATTCATCTCAGTTAGCAAGCTCAAAGATGCAAAACAGCACAAAAAGCATCTTACAGAGACCTGCATTCTCCACATTACCACACAAACAGCAGGAACCATACTGCCTATTCTAATTACTAGAAACACCACGTTAACAAACGTATGATAAAAAATAGGATTATGCATGTGCCTATATGTTACTCAATGAGCAAGCAAATTGTATTTGTTATTACCAGCAAAAGCACCAATAACAGCATTCTCAGGATCATTCAGTTCTCTTTTGGCCTGAAATAAATGGAGGTTAAGATAAGCATTTTATTAGTATGAATTTACACATGAAGAAAAGCATACAAAGTACTAGGATATGTCTCCTTTCTCCTTTTCATTAACTAAGGGACATGGGCATATAACAAAGACTCATGCATGTATCATTGCTAAAGTAGTTGGGACAGGAAAATTAAGAAGTAATGATAGGAAAAATGAGTTTTTCAGTACATATATGCACCCCACAGATGATTCCTTAAAGGTAGTATCCAGTGGACAAGGCTCTCGCTAGGGTAGGTCCAGATGTATGCAACCTTACCCTTATTTGCATAAAGAGGCTGTTTGCTTCCAGGGATCAAAATCGTGACCTTTCGGATAGCAAGTAGACACTTGACCACTGCACTAAGGCACGAACTTCCCCATAGATGATTACTTCCAACATGAAAAGGCTTATATGTATTATTGTAAGTTCTATAGGTCCATTACACCAATAAGACATAGTACTCTGAATTTTATACTCCACATATAACATGTGGCTAAACTAATTGGATCTTAGCATAAACAAAATTATTTGAGGAAACTGAAAAGTAAGTACACATTAAACAATCAACCCGACCTTCGAGAAAACGACCACTTATTAAAGGCCCAGCAATTCAGCTTTCAGTAGCAACATTAGACCTCATTTAATGACTGCGAAAATTAAGCTATAAGCTCAATTTCATCAATGCATTTGCTACACCTGCATCAACTGTCTTCTCCGTGTCATGTAGTACAGTTATACAGCATATTTGACATACAATCAGACGTCAACACTTGATATTAAGGTCCTTTACATATTCTAGGAAACTTCAAAGAGTCTAATGTGCCAGCACCTATGGTCATTGTAATTTGAGGTGGTGCGCGATCAACACAAGTCAACAAAATTTCATTAATCCCAGTAAAGGCGGTCCAGATTATGCACAAGCTATGGGACTGTGTAACAAAACCTACACTCCTGGAGCATACTAATTCAAACCCTCAACGAACTCCAAAACAAATTTTTCATCCAATATGAAATTATGTAACAAAACTACACTCCCTTTTTATATTTCTTAAACCCGGCAACAAAATCACACTCTCTATCTCTTCTCATAAAACCCAATAAAATTTTGCAGAATAATCTCGCTTATAAATATATATCTTGAAAATGGGTTGTTTGATTGATTGGGGTCATATTCATTTAATTAAACTAAACCTTTAAGAATCATGATTATATTTTATTACTAACAAAATTAGCTTAAGAATATTACAACATTATAACATATTGTAAAATTAAACCCCTGAAAATATAATATAGTACCTGATTGTTCCATTGAAGAGTTCTTGTTACCAATGGCTAAGGTCAAAGGCCCCATCCCCAGTTGCAAAAACCTCCTTTATTACCCAAATAATACAGCATAATATTCAGCAATTAAACAGCGAAAAAAGAGTGATAAAAATCTTTAAGAAATAAAATTTTGAGGAGAATTAATACATAGAAATGCAATTAAAATGTGATAAATTCAACTACATGCATTCAAGGGAAAAAATTGCATAATTCCAATATTGTAAATGTTGAAAATTATACTAGTATATGAAGCAAAGGAACACAATTATTAAGTCAAAGAAATAAACTTTCAGTCAATTGAGAGAGAAAAATTAGGAAGTACCTATGGAAGAAGTAGGAGTGTTGTGATTGAGACAGAGAGTTGCAGTGTTTTTGCAGGATTTTCTGGCAAAATGGAGAAGATAAAGAGGAGAGAGAATTTGAATGTGGGCTTTATTGGGCCATCAAGAAAGTAACAAGGCAGGGCCGAGGGCCAACTCAAGTTTTGTTTTATTAGCTTCTGTGACGGCCCTAACGAAACTGACCCGACTTGAATTATTCTAATAACATTGCATGAATTGAATTCAACACTACATTGTCTACATGGAAGATTGGAAGTTAAGTCATACTAGATGATCAATTGGCACCTCTACATCTCACAAGGTCTAAGTAGATTACAAGGGTGGATGTGTCCGTGTGGTCGATTACTTTGAAAGTTAATCAATTTACTAGATTGGGAAGTTGTTTGCATGTATTACTATAGAGAAGCTATGAAAATCCACTGGTGAATTGGTTAGCCGATCACATAGTTGATCAAATTACCGAACTTACCATCATCATATTCTATCGATAGATCTGAATTATAATAAGAGGTGATGTTAGAGGAGTGAATATGCCACGTTTAATTTCATCGTAATTTCAATAAAAGGTTGGGTTTTACTCTATTTTGTAGTAATAAAAACAAAAACCGTTGGATTTTCAATTTCTAAGCATTGTACTTATTCTCCTTTGAGAGTTGTAAAACAAGATTGGTAAGTGGAAATGAATCGCCACATTGGTATAATATAAATCTCGGTCTAGCAACATACAAGTGGTAACTAGAAAAAGTTGTTCTTAGATAGTGAATACGAGTGTTTATTGAGAATTTCTCATTCTTCCTACAAGGTTTTACTCTACTACGATATTATATAACAAAAAAAAACATAAATCTAAAATACAATTTTAATGGATATAACTATATACAATTTGAATTGTTTAAAAAAGTGCAATAACAAAAAAAAAAAAAAAAAAAAAAAAATTAAAAAATTATAAATAAATAAAAATGTATGCCTTCGCTGATTCCTCTACACTTAATGCCTTGGCTGGGACGGGGATTGAAGTCATGGTTGCCATCCCTAATGACATGCTTAGCCGAATGAACATGCTAAAGAATGGGTTAAGAAAAATGTTACCAAACATCTTTATGATGGAGGAGTTAGCATAAGGTAATATGTATGTAAGATCATTTCAACATATGATTTTGCAAGATATATTAATCATAATTATATGAACCACTTCCCTCGGTTACGGGTCCTCATGCAATGACCTTGATGCTAATGGTAACATTTCATATGCCTTCAACATGTATTTCCAGATGAATGATCAAAGTGTCGAAGCTTGCCAGTTTGACGGCGTTGCTACGATTACGTCCACCAATGCCTCCCAACAAGGGTGCCTATTTCCAATAGAGGTTGAAAGTGCGGCAATAAGGATTATCAAGGTTCCAACAGAGGCTGTTCTTTTGGTTTTTACGCTTATGTTGTTTTTGTTGCTGTAAGGTATCCCAAGTTAGTCCTTAGTCCTGAATCCTGAGGTAATAAACTCTTCTCAGATTTTCTTGTACAATAGTCATATACAAGGATTTTCTTGTATAATATAGTCATGTACAATAAATTAGCGAGAGATAGTCTCACAAACTTGCCCATTTCTTATGTACTACACCCGAGCTGACAATAGACCATGTTAGATCCAAGCAAAAAGATCTTTTGAGAAAAAATATAAATCATCCAAATTACAAACAAACAATTTCAACCATCAAATATCATTTTCAAGAATAATAAAACAAAATTTTCTAACATTTTGCAGCAAGAATCCATGCACAGGCTAGTGTCTACAAGATTATCAGCCAGAAAAAGGAGCTTGATGTTTAACAAACACTTCTAAATAGATCAGACAACACTTTCAGTTTACCAAGTGAAAATTATATGTACACACAATGCCATTGTAGGCAAGGGATAGTGAGGTTAGCTTGTGGTTCCTGGTGACTTTCAGGTCATTTCTCGAAAAATAAAGAGCTTCCAGCCTCCATAATTGCCTAAGACAGGATCTTCTTAGCAAAGGGGTTCATCAACTCAGCCAGGGACCTGTACAAGAAAACAATGGTAAAATAAATCAGCAAATTCATAATAAAGTAATTTAGATTGTAATGTCATGGACATCATTTTCTTTACCTCGATGATCTATTACAGGCTAAAGGTATCATAAATTATGAGACCTTGACAGTAAATATTTTTTATAGACTGTGTACCTATATGAAAGGCGAAATTTCCACAACCTTTTTAAGCCATCTCAAATCACAGGCCACTTTCTAGCTAAGTTACTATACTTTGAATTTTCCTATGTTACCCTTGATTGTTTATTTTAAGGGACACAAGGAGTAGCTTTCTGCTAACAAACCCTTTCCATCTGCTCATGTAATGAAGAAACAAAATCAACATGTTTAGGTGCAGGGTAGCGGTCTAGTGGATATGCAAATAAAGATGCACCCTGCAACATAGTTTTATATGGCTTCCTTTACCTGCTAAAGCTTAGGATCTCCACAGATGACATGGCTGCCTTAATGATAAATAGTCATTTATTTTTATCACAAGCAGCAGCTCTCTCATTGAATTCACTTACAGTCAATTTACAGATTTTAATGAAGAGGGCAAATTCCAACTTACAAGGGTCAATGACATAGCCATGAATATAATAACACAGCTAAAGAATCTTACCACAGATTCAAAACTTAGTTATCTCTTATATGAAAACTGAGACTTAAACTCCTTCTCTAGCTGTTCTCTCGATTCTGTTTTTGCTGCCATTACAACATCTTCAAGGAATCCTCTTTGTGGGAATTCTTCTGGAACAAGATTTCTGTAAATCAGCTTCCTTCTTTTTGTTCAGTAAGCTGTAAATTATTCCCTGAAATATGATATATGAATGATTACTTGATTAAATTGAATGAGCAGCCAAGTAGATAACAGGATGCAAGATACAAAGATTTCGAGGCTAGCAGAGATCTCAGGTTGGTACTCTAACAGACGAGAACAACATGGAAGACAAAAGGCCAATGCACTGAATTACAGAAGACAGAAAGTACAATAAACAACCCCTCAAGTCAGCAATGTTCACATTTCATGGTAACACCATGTGAGCCAATTCATTTAAAAGTAGCATACTTCATGTTTCTAATTCCTTGTTCTGCACATCCTTTACATGTAGCCAATCACAATCCTCGTAAAGTCCAGTAGTATTTAATTATTTATTTTCTAACGATTCTATACTTGATGAGCATCTTAAGAAAATCACCTATTATAGCAAGTCCACCACTCAACAGAACAACTAGAGGGCCGTAGAGGGTCAAATAATTCCAATTTCTAAATTAATTGTTCAAAAGTAGTCCTTATAATTCAACCTTCCCTCCTAACTTGCTGCTTCCCAAAACATCTTTAAAAAAATCCATCCAAAGCATGATTTCCTTCACTCAATTTAGGTTACCAATCACAAGGAGCTTCAATATTTAAAAAAATTGAGCAAGTCAGGACATTTGCATAGATGAACAATATCATAGGTGCCTAAGGTTATTTGCATGAGTTCTTTACATAGAATATAGTCACTAAAAAGAAAAACAAAACAAGAATTAAAGGCAGGTTGGTATTAAGCTGATTTTAATTTTGCAACTTTCATTCATCTGGACGGGCAGGTTGGTATTCATTAGGATAAAACACCGTTACTCGGGTCAGCATTTCAACAGCTTCTGCAAAATCGAGTGGCAATTGACATACACCTTGTACGTAGTTGGCAGCAGTGATTTCTGACTCAAATTCACACATCCAATTGGGAGCTTGAAGATGAGGATTATTTGATTGCGTTATTAACTCATCAACCAAGCCGGTGACTTCTCTAAAATTAGCAAAATCTAAGCACCAAATTCGAGGCAGATATGCAATATGTATATACTCTGCTGGATCATCAGACCATTTGTATTGGATTGGGACCATTGCTTCTGCATTATCCCCCATTTCTCCATCCTCCTCTCCCATTTCTTCATTCTCTTCCTCTTCCTCTTCCTCTTCCTCTTCCTCATCAGGAAAACGAGCATCACTGTCCAATGAACCTGAATTCACCAGCTGATCTGAAGTATGAATCATTTGGCAAATTGAACTCCTACAATATTTATAATACATGAAACTAATAAGTCCATGTCAACATCAAAGTAGGTGAACTACTCCGCACAATTAATCAAAAGGAAGAATCTCAATAAACATAAGTTTGTAATAGTAGGAATTACTTCATTTCATTAGTAGAGTTGCTTTTGAAAGTTCCTCCCTGCCTTCTGTTTCCGATGCAATTGATAATCATGCAGACTTTGGTACTCTGAGCATTTGGATAGCTAAAAGAAACTGCAACATGTATCATATATCAACAATTAATTTGTGAAGGTTCAATGGGCACTCAAGAGGGGGGGGGGTGAATTGAGTGTTAAGTAATCGTTGGCTAATTTTGCTTCTTTTCGGATTATGTGTGAGGAACCAGTTGTGCTGGTTCCCGTACGCAGCGGAATATAAATAAGCAATAAAGAAGACAACAAATTTAACGAAACAAAGCAATAAAGACACAACAAATTTAACGAGGTTCAGCCAACTCAGGCCTACGTCCTCCTATCCTAAGTTCTTTATTGATCTACTCCGAAAAACAAAGACAAAGAACACTCTGCTGTTCCCTACTCCGGGAACCAGCAAACCCACACTCTACTCCGAGTGTGCTCTCGACTTACACTCGTAAGCCCAATGTGTTTGAACTCACAAACACTCACCCAGCCTTTAACCCCTTTGTTAAGACTCAATACAAGAATCAAGAACTCCCCTTTGATCTCACTTCTACGAAGCTAATTAAGAGAAAAAGTTTAAGTACTAGAATGCTCTTGTATATGACTTGATGAATGGGATTAGTGCTTAAGTATATGCTCTCAAATAATTGCTCTTTTAATTTCTGGAGAGGCACACGAAATATGTGAAATAAGATGAGTTTATATAAGTTTAGATTCCTAAAACCTAGTTTCCTTAAATCACACAATCTTAGAGAATAAGATATAATGTAATTTTAGGAAAGTTTTTATCTTATTTGATTTAATCACAAAGATAGAATCAATTAAGATAAATACTCCTAGTTTTTAGGTAACCAAGAATATTTCATCTTATTTCCAGCTGCACAAAATATTTTCAAAAT